AAAACAAAGGTAAGGGCCTTGTCCTTTAGAGGACCCCGATGGACCTAAAGGGCAGGCCAGAACTCCAGGGCCTTCACCAACTTGTTAAATATGAGAGTAAAAGAGACCTATTTACTTCAAATGGCGAGGTTACTGGGGCCCAGAAAGCGAGTAATGATAGACTGGGTTATGAGAAGTCCCACAGAGTTTGAAGCGAAGGGGGTACAATTCATTTTACCATTAGTGTCCACCCCGTGATAGATGGAGTCCTCCAAAAGAAACATCTGTGCTGAGCTTTGGATGGCGAGGGAAGGGCTAAGACAGGCTTCACTGGTGGCAAAGCTCTGACTCTGGGACTGTGTGTCATATTCTCCCCTAGGACTTAAAGATCGACCAGAAAACACCTTTGCGCGTTCTTCACCGAAGGCCCCTGGCAGTGCGAGCTCGCGTCATTCACTCCATGGAGTCGCACTATGTGGATGAGCACCACTTCCGCCTCCATCTGAAAACTCAGGCCGGCACGTATCCTTCCGCCTGCGGCCGCCGTGGAACCGGAACCCTGTTGGAAAAGGCCATGCTGCCCTAGAAAACGGGGTCAGCTTGGTCTGGGAGGAATTCGGGAAAGGATTATACTGAAGAAGAATCTGGTTTGTTTGTTTGTTGGATGTGTTTTTTTCTCCACTAAATTTGTTTTTCAAAATGATTCCAAACCTTGAGGTAGCAGTCCATTCAATGTCAACTTTAAAGTTTGCTTCCTGTAATTACAGTGCCTTAACCAGTGCAGGGCGCACAGTACTCAGAAAATACTTCTGATGGATTCACTTGCTGTCTTGACATTTTTTGCAAGTCACGTATTCATGAGAATATTTGAGTCTTTTCAACATTTCATGTATTTTCCTTAGGTGATTAAACACAGTTGGTAGTTGGGAATAGCACTACTTTACATCATGATCTTTTCTTTGCCAGTGGTCCAGTACAGCAGGGAATATTCTTTTCTTTACAGGCCTTGGGAAGAAAACAAAAATAAAACGTTTCAGATGTCATATCATTAGTTAGCTCCATTTTCAGACTGCAGAGAGCTTTGACTGTGTTACAGAAAGGTTGAGATTCAGAGTTAAAATATCTGTAGTCTAAGGCTGATAATTTGTTCATAATCTAACCTGACGTATGATTTTTGTATCAGAACTGAGTTGCTGATTAAAATATATCAGGGAGCTCCAGTAAGCTTAGCTTTAGTGTACTTTTCAAAGGTCTTCCTAGTTTTTGTTTCTTGGATTTATATTATTCTGTGATCCAATAGCATGAAGTGACAAATACCTTCTAACTGGTATAGAACTAATGATGTACTATTGTGTGTGTGTGTGTATATATATATGTACACACACACACAGACACACTATATATATATGGGGAAAAAAGCAAGTTTTAATCACCAAATACCATTCTTCCTATATTGCTGTAACTAGTCTGCCTGTCTTTCCCCACCAGCCTGTGTTCACTTATTTCTCTGCCCCACCTCAGGACCTGGATTTACTCAGCTAAGCCAAGTATAGGTTATCTACTTTTAAAATCTTCTAAATTTTGTAATTTGGATCAAAGGAGGATCAATTTAGACTCCAGTGGACAAATGTTTGTATCTTTGTTGTTTGGAGCATATTTGCATATTATGGATGGAAATTCAAATCATGTATACATTTTTAAAAATCTTCTTACCTAATTCTGGCCTTTAGTTTTGGTGGGCCAAAGAGAAATGTCTTTTGTAGAATTTGATGTCTTTTCAATCCTATTAAAACATTTTTAGAACCAGCCATGTACATGTACTTAAGGTGTTAATCAAGAAAGACTGTTAGAGCTTTAGATGCCACATGGTTATATACTAAAGTATGTGAATTTTTCACTTACTAAATTTACTTTGTATATACCTTGTATATTCACATGGACAGGTGCACTGAGCTAGCTCATTTGACTTAAACCTTGTCCCTCTAGTTATGAATAAGAACGTCTCTGGACATTTTAACTGGTTATTCTGGGGCTATTTGGTTTTTTCTCCTCATCACTGCTACACAGAGGGAGCATTCTTCAAAGAAAATGAGAGAGCCAGGCGCAGTGGCTCACGCCTGTAATCCCAGCACTTTGGGAGGCCGAGGTGGGTGGATCACGAGGTCAAGAGATCGAGACCATCCTGGTCAACATGGTGAAACCCCTTCTCTACT